GCGACTGTTTGCCAATCGTGCGGCCTCTGGGGGAGACCCCGCCGGCTCGAAACATGCGCCAAAAAACAGCCACGATCCACTCCAGGGGAGCGGGGGGAAAAGGGGGGGGGCCCGCGCCGATCAGCAAAACAATGCATACAAAAACGATCACATGCGTCTCCCTGGCCAATGGTCGCACACCCCTCACACGCTGCGTGGCCCCATAGGGAGCTCCACCGAGTGCCTCCCAGGGAGCCAGCCAAGAACGTACGCGCCCAACCGCGTACATGAACACGGCCCCTCAATCTGCGAGATCCGCCGCGTGATACGAACGCTCGCGCACTGCATACTCTCGAAACCAGCGTGGATTCATGTACGTGAATCCCAGCAGCCCTCTGGGCGTAGGTGGTTTAGAGAGTTTCCTCTTCCGTCTTCCCTCTTCCCCTTCGGGGAGGGGTTTACCCCTCCCCCTACCCCCTCCCCTGGACCTGGACGGGGGGGGGGGCCGCGAGGGGTTAGAGCGTCCAAGATGGCCCAAGACGGCTCCAAGTGGGCCTCGGAGAGCCCAAGATGAGCTCCAAGATGGCTCAAGATAGCCCAAGATGCCTCAAGATGGCTCCCAAGATGCTCCAAGAGGCCCCAAGACTGCCCCAAGACGGCTCCACGTGGCCCTGGAGCCTCCCACGGAGGCCCCCCAAGATGCCAAAATGGCTCCCAAACCGAAGCAAATCAATGTTTTTTGCTTTCTCGCCTTTTTGCTTCCGATGGCCATTCGAGGCCTCAAGATGGCTCCAAGATGGCCCAAGAGGGCCCCAAGAGAGGCCCAAGATGGCCCCAAGACGGCCCCAAGAGCGCCTCAAGATGGGCCCAAGAAGCGATTTTTGAGGCTCCCGAGGGGCGACGCTAATTGCGACCTTCCCCTTCTTTGATCGATCGTCTCCAAGATGGCTCCAAGAGGCGCCCAGGAGGCCCCAAGAGGCGCCAAGATGGCCCCAAGATGGTCCCAAGATGGCCCCAAGGCCCCCAAGAGACCCCCCAGAGGCTCCCGCAGCTGACGAGGCCAGAGGCTCACGTCTGAAATCAACTGCCGGCCAGAGGCTCCTGCAGCTGACGAGGCCAGAGGCTCACGTCTGAAAAAATGGAGAAAGTATATGTTATCTCAACAGTTCCAAGAACATCCAGCCGTGGCGACGATGGACATTCAAAAAAATCTGCGAAAAAAACTGCGGGCCAGAGGCTCCCGCAGCTGACGAGGCCAGAGGCTTACGTCTGAAACAAAGAGCTGCCGGCCAGAGGCTCCCGCAGCTGACGAGACCAGAGGCTCACGTCTGACGAGAGCCCCAAGACGGCCCAAAGAGCGCCCAAGAGCGCTCCAAGAGCGCTCCAAGAGGGGTCCAAGAGGCGATGTTTGGAGCTTCCGGAGAGGCGGTGCTAATTAAAGCTCCCCTTTTCTTTGATCGATCTCCTCCAAGATGGCCCCAAGAGGCCCTCACGGCTCCCAAGAGCGCCTCCGCCCCCCCCTCCCCCCCCCTCCCCCCCCCCCCCCTCCCCCCCACCCCCCCCTCCACCACCCCACCCACCCCCTCCGGAGTCCCTGAGGCACCCAAGACGCTCCAAGAGGCCTCTAGGACCGCCATGAGGCCCCCAAGACGTCCCAAGACGCGTCCAAGAAGCTCCCAAGAGAGATCTGGAGAGACTCCGAGAGGCATCCAAGAGGCCTCTGGCCATT